CGGGACGGGTTGTCACATATCCCATGGTTATATTTTCCATGGAGGAGATATAACTCAAGGAAACGGAGAAGGAGGCGAATCGAGCTACGATGATATATTCTTCGAGAATGAGAACTTCATCAGGCAGTGCACCGGTCCAGGTTTCCTCACCATGTTCAACTTTTCTGTAGAAAAATCCAACGGATCTCAGTTCGAGATCTGCATGAAAAAGGACGAGCATCTCGGCTACGAGAACGTCGTGTTCGGCCAAGTTATTCAAGGATTGGATGTCATCACGACCATTATGGGAATGGAAGAGGCCAAAACTGTGCCTCGCAAGCCGCCTAAAGTTCCTGTCATGATCGCCGACTGCGGTCAAATTATATAGATTTTAATTATATAACTACAATAATGGTAGCTTGTGTCGTTTTGATGTTTTGGTCAGGTGTGTTTCTCTTCTTCATTTGGTGTTTCCCTCAGTAAACTACAATAATTGTTTCTTCCTCTTTTGCTTGATTTTATATATTCAATTTACAATAAGTTTAATTTATCAAAACCTTAATTAACATAGCGTTTTACACAACATATAAAAAATAACAACACAACAGTTACAAAAGAAACCATTATATGAAGAGATTCTAGAGAGCTATTACCAAGCATATATAGTTGAATGATAAACTTTTCATGTGGGGGAATTCTTTGGAACCAAATCTGTAAAAGTCACCTTGATAGGTCAGGTGAAGCTTATAGGAATCAATCATTATAACTACACCTACAAGAAAAGATTATAGCTACATACATTATTGTTGGAAATCAAAATGGTATTGGATACGTAGCTATAATCTTTTCTTTCCGTTGACAAAGTTTATATCATCTAAGAAGTTTAACAAAGTTAAATCATTATTTATTCAACTGGTTTTTTAGATCATCAAAGTTTTAGGGGGTGTTATTCAATAGTGGATTCTAATTCAGCTCTATTAAACTTAAATCAGGTTAGATTTTTAAAGATTTGGAGGGTGTTATTTTTTTCTTTTTTTGAGCTAAT